GAGCCCACGGCCCTCCTGGCAGTCCCCCAGCAGCTCATCATCGGAGCCTCCCTCCAGGATCACTGGCAAACTGGCCACTTTGGAGCCACGGTCTCCAGGAACGGGAATGGCAGCCCTGAGACTCGTGAGACCGGCAGATAAATCATCGTCACCTTCATTTCTTAAGGGCCTGTCACCTCCAGGTGTCACTGGAGGAGGGACAGTCTCAGAGGAGCCACTTTGGGGGAGGCACCCACGAGCAGCTGAGGCTTCACCAGCAGGTAACAGGAGCCCAGGCACGGATTTTACACCATCACCTGAAGAAGGAGCATCACCCTTTAACTCAGCCTGGGAAACCAATGGGCCCTTCCTCAGTGCCACAGCCCTCCGTGGGGTTGGCTCTGGTGGGACAAGGACCTCACTGCCATCCCTCTCTGCATCTGCTTCCCGAGGGGACACCGAGCAGGCTCCCAGGGCTGCTCTGACCTGGGGAAGTGAGCCGATTTTAGCCAGAGGAGCTGCCTGGGGCTCTAAGGGGGGTGCACACTCTGCCCATTGCTCTCCAGCACAGACTTTCTGCTCCTCCCTGGGCTCACTTCCAGCCACATCTGCAGAGCCCCCTGAAGCACCACGACCAGGGTGACCTGCTGAGGAACAGTCCTCACCACGAGGGAGGCAGGAAGGGGAAGAACCAGTGACACTTTGGAAACCTGGCACACCTGCCTGGCCCCCACACTTGGACACGAAGGGATTATTGTCATTGAAGTGACAACCAGAGGGGAGGGAAGGTGTGGGAGGGAGAGAGAGACTCTGGGAAGCCCCCACAGCAGAGCTCTCAGGACCCTGCCCCCAGTCAGCAGCAAAGGGATTATTACCCCTGGCAGAAACCTGTCCAGGAAGAGGTGCTTTGGGAACAGAGGCTGGAAGATGATGGGATGAAGGGAAAGGGGCAATCCTGTCGGGATCCAGGGCTGTGGATGCCCTGTCCCACTCGGGAGTAAAGGGGTTCTTGTCATTCCAAAGCTCTGCAGCAAAAGCAGGAGAAGTGAGAGAGGCAGAAGAACTAGTGATGTTTTCAGAGTCTGGCACTTGGACTTTCTGCCCCGTTCTAGAAACAAAAGGATTACTGGCACTGCTGATACGGTGCACAGAAAGAAAAGCAGGGAGGGGGTCAGGTGCAAGAGTAGGAAGCGTGGCTTTGGGTTCCTCCTCTGGAGACAGGCCCAGTCTGCAAAAAGGGACAAAAAACTCGCATGTCACTTGCAGATGCAACACGAGGCAGGAACGGACAAGCTTTAGCACCAGCCTCCATCAGCTCCTGCCACTGGGGATGAATTATATTTGCAAGAGACCTCAGAGCCTGTCTGAGAGACTTTATATCCTTCACTGCATCTTTACAAAGGATTTTATGTCATTTATGTCAGAACTCTTCTGCTGCAGAGCTTGTTTTTGTTGCTTTAAGCACCATCTCTTTGCACCCCAAGCAGGTCTATTAGTACATAAAACACTTCATAGGCAAGAAATTTAAACATGAGAAGCACTGAAAATGAGGAGTTAGGGATACACACAAACCACAGCCTTATTAGTAGGGCATACCTACAGATATATATAAAACCCCAGACACACACAATTTATATATATCTGCGTGTGAAGGATAGAGGAGCAGAATTTCCGAAAAAGCCTTGGTGTACAAACCCACACAAAATCCCTTCGTGTTGCTGTGAATGATGCCAAAAGCAGAAGGGCTCCAAGATTAACCTTTGGAAGACCACAGCCAAGTAGAGAAGAGGAAAGCACAGATGTTAGAACAGGCATTTCTGACCCCAGGTAGGTTCCAGTCGCACAGCTCGGGCAGAGTTAGTTTTTGCAGGAGATCCAGTGAGAAAAATCACCCCTGCAGTACCTACACAGGTGCCTGCACTCAGAGAACCACTACTCTGGCATCACTTACAAGGAGCATTCCTATATCCATCTTTTCTTCGTACCCAGAAAGAGCCTGGGAGTTATTGGCCACCAAAGTGCCCAACGCCAGCGTAAATCCCACAGGTGCTCCTGAGCCCAGGTGTGGCAGGACACAGCCCACGCCACCACCCTGCCACCACCACTGCCCATCCCAATTCCCATCAGCAGCTGGGACTCACCTGGGCTTCACTGTGGGCCTCACAGCTTTGGTCTTGGCTGGGGCAGCAGCTTTTTCGGGTTTCTGTTCCTCCTCACCAGGGCCGAGCGGCCGCTTGTTTGCAAAGGTGTCTTCTGTGCTCTGAGTGTCTCCTGATGGGTCCCCTCTGCCCAGCTCTGCTGGGGGTTCAAGACATTTGGCCTCCTCTTCACTGTTCTCTTCTGGAATTTTGTTCTCCTCACTCTGCAGGGTCCTGTCGGGAATATTCTCAGCATCTCCCATTTTCCCCACTTCTTTCTTCCCAGTGACCAGGGAGAGCAAGGCAGACTTTTTGTGGTCTGGTTTTTTGGGCTCCCTCACAGCCTCGGTGCTCGGGGCAACGCTGGTGTCCAGGGGCTCCTCACTGCTCAGCAGTTTGTACGACGGCAGAGTCATGGATTTGAAGGTCTCCAAGGACGTGGGCCCAGAGAAAGCCTGACTAGGAGAGGTTCTTCCTGTCTCTTCAGGTGGTTTGCTGGACCTGGAGGACAGGTTCTCCTCTGAAGCGAAGAGCTGCTTCCTCCTGAAGTTGAGAGGAGAGGGAGAGGAGGCTGGAGTGTTGTCCTTCGTCGTGGTTTCTTCCATATAAACGTGACTGCCGTTGATACACAGGCTAGACTTGGAAACGGGATCGCTTTTGGATTTCAGGCCACTGAACAAAGAGAGCCCTTCTTTCTTGGTGTGGTTACTGGTTCCTTGGGTTAGCTGCCTGCTGTCCAAAAGGGCTGTTTTACGAGATTTAAACAGAGGAGAAGGAGCTGGCTTCTCTTCCAGGGCATTTCCAAGGGCTCCTGGAAAAAAAAAAATCAAACAGGGAAAAATTCAAGATACAAGAAAAACTTTTCCTCTGGCACTTGCTACTGACAACCTCAGTGCCAGGAGGGGCTTTCCATGGATTTTTTCAGAAAGAAGAGTTTAACTAGTGCTGTGGAAAGTGTAAACAACCCTTTGGAGAAAGGCTTTGTGCTCACCAGTGCAGCGAGTGCCAATACTCACGTTCTGAGGTCGGAGAGGTCTCAGACTCCTCCTCATCCCACTGGGGCTGGAAGTCGCTGGGCCGAAGCCGAACCTTCTGGGTGACGGGCTGCTGCGTGGGCAGGACTGACATGGACTGGGACAGGGTCTTCTGCAGCCCGGGTTTGGAGAACAGCGCTTTGAACTTGGATTTCTTCTTTTCCTTCTCGACCGCCTCGTCCTCGCTGTCAGCAGGGGAGTGGGTCGTGCTGGGAACGATCGCCGACGCCGTGTCCGAGAGGCCGCTGCTCCTCTTGCCCTTGAGCTTGTCTTTGAGCTTCCCAAAGGGAGAGCGAGGCTTGTCCTTCATGGACAGGTCAAACATGCTGGCTGTCATGCTGCTCCTCATGAACTGGATGTCCACCTCGATCTCCCCCCTCTCCTTTTCCTTCTTCCCTGGTTTGGAGTGAAGCTTGTACCACCTGCAGCAACAAGGAGACTTCTTCTATCAACCAGTTCCCAAGGCACGGGTAATTGAGAACACAGAGGTTGCTTATGTTTGAAAAATCAAATCAGCCTCCAGTGTAGGAAAAGAAAAGCCTTTAATCTTACGAGGACGTCACAGTCACGGCCCCAGGTGCCAAGGAAAACATTCCTTATCGTAAACAGAAAGTTATTAGTAAGGTTTGGTTTGAAACCCAGATGAGGAGGGGTTAAAAAGAAGGAGGAAAAACAGAAACACAACATGGAATTCCTGTATTTCAGCTCAGCCACTCTCCTCTGCCCTTTCATATCTCCTCCTGACACTCGCAGAGGCCAGGCTTTGAAGTGGGAGCCGAGAGCGAGACGAGGCACCAAGAGCTGCTGCACACGCGTCCCACGCCCTCATACCTTTCATTCCAGCTCCCTAATGCCTCTTAAGCCAAGGAACCTCTAATCAGCAGGAGAGAGCCAACCCCAGCCCTGCAGACCGCTGGGGATTTCCACCCACCTCCCCCAGCTCATGACTGAGCAGGGAGCACCAGGAAGGACATCGCTCAGACAGAGTCACATCCCTTCCCAAAACCTGGCTCCAGAACGCCGAGCTCCGTGTGGTGAGTGCTCAGGGCATCCCAAACCACAATCCCACCATCCATACGCCCTCAACCACCACTCGGTGACTCTCAAACCACATGTGGGCCAGGAAAGAGAATTATCAGCGCTGCACACCACTGTGGTTTTGGCTATTGCTGGAGCCGCAGAATTCCCAACTCCACAGAACCCACGGGAAAGGCTGCCTGGAAAACGCTGGTTTCTTGCTCCTCACCAGATGGAACAGGAAAATTATGGAAGGAAACAGAGCATGCAAATGTGCCTCACCATCAAATTTGCACTTCAACCTCTGAAGGTGCACTAGAAGCAACAAGAAAGAGAACAGGAAAAGGCAATTTGCCCCAGAGAAAATTCAGAAGTAATGAAGATTACTGAAGGAGATGGATTCAGGAATCTGCTACACTTCAGAGGGATATACAGAAGAAATTCTTCCCTGTGAAGGTGGTGAGGCCCTGGCACAGGTTGCCCAGAGAAGCTGTGGATGCCCCATCCCTGGAAGGCCAGGTTGGATGGGGCTCAGAGCACCCTGGGCTAGTGGAAGGTGTCCCTGCCCATGGCAGGGTGAGCTTTAAGGTCCCTTCCAACCCAACCCATTCTGTGATTCTATAATTCTAAATGAACCCTTGAGCTACAGTCAGATGCTCCAGCCTGGAGTTACAAGGTACCAAGGGAAGAGATTTTATCAGGAGACTGAGGCTTTGCCCAGTCCCTGAGGCTGCAGCCTGGGAATCACAGATCCTTTGCCTTTAACATGAGCCAGCACTGGGCACTTTTGTTCCAAACCCGTGGTTTCTAGGAGCATCCTGTGCTCGCAGGGCTTCGGTGCCACAATTGATCCCATGTGCTCCCTGCCCGGGAGCAAACGACGTGTTCAGCAAAGGCAGCTCAGCCCCGACCAAACACAGCCCCACTGGAAGGAAATCACGGACTGACAACCCCCCGAACCACAAAAAAACCTCATTAATGGCGTTTATCACATTCGTGAGCACCTGTATTTATTCTCCAAATAAAACCAGCCCTTTGCAGCCACACATCACCATGGCAGCCAGGACAAAACAGGCTTCAAACAGGAAACTGAGGGCTGGAAACAACCGAAAATATCAGGAAATTTCCCCAGGAGCACCGAAGCTGGGTTTTCTTTTCTCCTCCCCCTCAATTTTCCTTTGCCCAGACAGACACAAAGGCACCCGCCGGGGCCCGAGGCGCTGGCCCCGGGCTCTGCTGACCGAGGGCACGCTGGGCTCCGCAGTGTAAACACAGCAGTGCCTGACACAGCCTTAATGAACCCGCGGCCTAATTAAGCCTTGACAAGGGGTGGCAGCTCCTGGCCCTGCTCAGGTGAGCCAGAGGAGGAAGGTGACTCACCAGCCACATTACAAGGCTGCTGACTCCCAGCAAAACCCTCCCAGGCACCACCCCTGGATTTCACCGCCCCACTGTTTATGTTCAAAGCAGTGAGTGTGACACAGAGTTGGAGCTGGGAATTAACGACCCCGGCTCGGTGTCCTGCTGACAGCAGCGAGGGCAGCCCGTGGAACATGGAAATATCCACCCTGGCATGTGCTAAGTGTTTATTAAGGAAAATAAATAAAGAGCTGGCGGAGCCTGCGCTCGTTCCCCACTGCAGGGAGGCGGCATTCCGAGGACACCAGGTTTCGGGAGCCAGCCTGGCTGTTCCCTGTGTACAGTGTCACTACACACACAGAAATAGTGAAAAATCAAACCCAAGGACCAGGCAGGACTGCCTGGAAAAGCTCTGGCCACATTTCCCGGGGGCCCCTGGCCTCTTCCAGGAGCTATCAGGGGCTCACCCACACTGGGGGAGACCCTGCCCTGAGGAGTCACCCTGTGGGCACTCATGGGGCTTGAGGGGTCCCTGTGGGGCATGCGTGTCCCCCAAGAGAACCTCAGTCCCCTATGGGGCATAAGGGTTCCCCCCCAGACCCACACATGCCTGTAGTGTCCAGAGGTTTCCACGAGGAACAGGGACATCCCATGGGGAACTGGGGTTGACCCTCGAGGAGCAGAGAGGGCCCCCTCAACTTCCTCCCCGGACCCTGTGGGGCACAGAGTCCCCTCTTCATCCCTCTCCCCAGCTCCCGTGGAACACAGAAGCCCCTGCACCCCTCTTCCTGGCCCCTCCCCAGCCTCCGTAGGACACAGAGGGTCCCCCCATCCTTCTCCCCATCCCCTGTGGTGCCCAGAGTCCCCCATCCCATGCCCTCCTCAGTCCCTTCCCAGCTCAGTCCCGTGTTACCCTGTCCCACCTGGTGTGCCG